ACACACACACACACACACACACACACACACACACAAATAAATAAATAAAATTAAAAAAAATGTTTATGTGTGAATTGCTGGGTCTAAAATTGCTCATGTCAAGAAGCAGCACCGTAGGTGAGTACCTATTTCACAGCCCCTTCAACAGTACTGGAAGTTATTAGTAATTTTTTAAAAATTAGGGGTCAGGGAGATGGCTCAGTAGAATAAGGACTTGCCTGGCAAGTGCAGGGGCCTGAGTTCAACCCCCAGTTCTGCCCCCCCAAAAAAATTGACTTTATGAGGCAAGGTCTGCAATGTAATACAGACTAGCCTGGAACTCCTTTAGTAGCCCAGGCTACGAACTATTCATGGTCACAAACCACTGATTGTCCTGCCTCAGCCACCCAGGTGCTAGGACTAAAGGGATGTGCTGCCATTCCTGGTAGTAGCGTGTGTGTGTGTGTGTGTGTGTGTGTGTTACTGGGGATCAAACCCAGGTGCCTTGCACATGAGAGGTGAGTGCTTTACCTGCTGAGTTCCATTCCTAGCCCCTCACATGTATGTGCATCTGTTTTTGTTTGGTTTTGATTTTAGTTTTTTGAGACAGGGTCTTGCCATGTAGTTAAGGCTGGACCTGAACTCTTGATGCCTCTCTTGCCTCAGTTTTGCAAGTGCTGGGATTACACATGTGTGCTCACACACCCGGCCTTGTTATGGGATTTTAAACCTGGCGCCTGGAACATGCTAGCTAAGCACTGCACTACTGAGCTACATCCCCAGTCTTTTTTCCTCTGTCTCCTTCTTCTTTCTCCTTTCTCCTTTTTTATTTTTTATTTTAAGCCCTTATCGCTATATTGCCCAGGCAGGCCTCAAACTTGAAATCCTCTTTCCTTGGCTTCCTAAGTAGCTGGGATTTCAGGTGTGCACCCTTGAGCCCAATTTTTGATGCAGTGTGGTGTAAATAGTTTTCTAGTGCTGGTTTGAAATGCATCCCCCCCCCCCATGTGGTTTCAGTTGCTTGTGGTCAACCAGAGTCTGAAAATACTCAATGGAGACTTCTAGAATTAAGAATACATCAGGAGTATGCCTGGCCCGGCCAGTGTGATTAGATGCTGGTCCTGTGCTCTCCCCTGCCCACCTCGTTTGGGGTGGGAAGGGATCCTTTCATTATCTCGGGGGTCCCCACCACCCACACCTGCACACTTACCCTGTGCCTCTTTGTCTTTCAGCCTGGCTGCCCTGCTTCGGTCTCCACCATGAATGGGCCCACCCTGCAGCCCGCCACGCCGCAGCCCACCGCCCCCCAGCCCTCCGCACCCCTGCGTGGCTGGAGTGAGTTCTGTGAGCTGCATGCTGCGGCTGCGGCCCGGGAGCTGGCGCGGCAGTACTGGGCCTTTTTGCGCCAGCATCCTCAGCACGCGCCACCGCGTGCAGAACTCGTGGCCCTGCGCTTTGCCGACCTTTTTCAGCGCTACTTCTGCTGTGAGTTGCGTGACACCTGCACTGCTGGGCAGCCCGGCCGGGACTACCGCGAGGCGGCTCGTGGGCCAGCTGCCAAAAGTAAGGTGTCCCAGCCTGGCCCTGGCCCTGCCACCTCCCTGCCCAAGGCTCACAGTTCCGAGGACCTGGCCCCACCACGCGCGCCTGGTGCCTGCGCCCTTCAGCAGCTGCGCCGCGGCCTTCGCCACCTCTTCCGCCGCCGCTCAGCCGGGGAGCTGCCTGCTGCTTGTGGCCAGGGGGACACGGCTGAGGCCCTCACTCGTCCTGGTTCTACCCGAAAGCTGCTGCCCTGGAGCCTGGCCCGGGAATCGCCACCCGATGCCCTCAAGGAAGAGGCACTGTGCTACAGCCTGGCAGATGAAGCATCCATGGATAGCGGAGCTCACTGGCAACGTGGGAGGCTGGTGCTTCGTTGTGTGTCTGGCCCAGATGGCAGCCCAGGCCGTGTGCTAGAGCTCTTTGACCCACCCAAGGTAAGCACCTTTGTGGGCTGCACACAGCATCAGCAGGCCTCCAGGGGAGGGACGGTGACATTTTCCCACTATGTGCTCTCCAAGTGTCTGAAGTAGGAATTTTACCTGAACCTTTTATCATAAAATCTGTTGCAAAGCAAGGTTTAATACTATTGGGTATATTGTCATAACGCAGAAACCAGACCTGTTATAGAATTTCACAGATTTTGTAGATTGTTCAGGAAAACCATTTTTTGAGTCATAGGTGGGTGTGAATGTGGGCTAGATAGAGCCAAAGTCTTTGAAAATTCTGAAGCAGCTGACAATGACAAACGGATGTCTTATTTCCAGAGGTGTCAGAACTGTTGAATTCCTTTGCATCATCCACACTTCATCTGTTTTCTTTTCTTCCAAGTTGAAACAAAATTTGTCACCGGGCCTGGTGGTGTACCTTTAATTCCAGCACCCTGGAGCCTGAAGCCAGAGGTTTGAAAATTTGAGTCTAGCCTGGGCAATTTAGTAAATAGTGAGACTCTATCAAAATAAAAAAGGGCAGGGGACATATAGCTCAATGTGGAGACTCTGTGTTCAAATCCCAGCAGCACTAAATAAATAAGATAAAAAGGTCTGGTGTTGGGCCCACCAGATAGCTCAGCAGACTAAAGCGCCTGCTTAGGCAGAGCACAGCAGCTGGGGCTCCATCTCCCCCGCTGCCCGGGGTACACTGAGACAGAGATTGAGACTGGGCGTGGTGGCATGCATCTGTAATCCCAGCGCTTGGGAGGCTGAGGACAGGAGGGTCACTACCAGTCTGATCTATGTAGTGAGACCCCGTACTAAATGTTCTTCTGAGGGGGACTCAGCCACTGCTGCTAAGGACACAATACAAGGTGGCCACTTTCTTTCTTTTTTTTTTTTTTATATATTTTTGCAGAACCAGGGATTGAATTCAGGCCCTTTGCAGAACTGGGGATTGAACTCAAGACCCTATACTTGCCAGGCAAGCGCTTATTCTACTGAGCCATCTCCCTGGCCCCAAGGTGGCCACTTTCGAAGACAATTTTTGCTTTTTTAAAATTTTATTTAATGCTGGGGATTGAACTCAGGACCCTGTGCTTGGCAGGCGTGTGCTTATTCTACTGAGCTATCTCCCCGGCCCCACATTTTTTTTTTTTTTTTTTTTGTGGAACTGGGGTTTGAACTCAAGCCCTTGCACTTGCCAGGGAAGCACTTATTCCACTGAGCCATCTCCCCGGCCCATAAAGTTCTGAAATTTTTTTATTTTTAAAATTTTTTTTATTTTTTGGAACCAGGGATTGAATTCAGGCCCTTGTTTTTAATTTCTTTTTCCCCCACAGTTTCTTATAAAGTTTTTTTCTTTTAAAGTCTGGGCTCATGGGCCCTGTGGGTTTGACCCCTCACACCACGCACAGAACTCTTTTGTCCTTTTCCTTGGCAGCCAGGCAAGTGCCTTCTGTGCAGCTGAGGCTGCAGATCACAGTCTGCACGTTGAGCTCTGTGTCTGGGTCAGGTGCACGGTCCAGTTATGTCCAGGGCCTTGCTGTAGAATGAGCTGTGCTCTGCCCCACGGTGCCCAGCAGGGGCGGAGGAGGCCAGCAGTCACCAGGGGATACTTCCTGAGCACTGCTGTCTGTGGTAGAGGCTGAATTAGGGGAGCTAGGCTCCAGGGAGGCAGGTAGAGAATGAAGTCACAGGTGGGTATGGGGCCGTAAGACTGTGAGTTATATCCTGAAGGTCTATGGGAGGGGAGGGATGGTGTTCATCCAAATCCCCTGGCATGCAGTAACCCTTTTAAACTTCACAGTGTCATGTGTATCTGCTGAAGCTCTGACTAGCTTTCCCTTTGTGCACTCACATGATCCAGCAGCCGAGTGCTCCATGCCCCCCATACCAGCACTGTATTCCATGCAGACCTCAGCTACTGTTGCACAGGTCGGATGTCTCTGAACACCAGGCAAATGGATCACAAAGCCTGTCACCTTATTTACAGCTCCTTTAGTATGTTAGAGTTCACATGTCCTTTTGTGCATTGAAAGTTCAAGCCTGTTTTTTAGGGGTGGGGTTGTGCACAGCTGGGGGTGGAACCTAGTATTTTGCACATGTTAGGCAAGCACTCTGCCGCTTAGTTACACTCTAGCCCTTTTTAGTTTTTCATTCTGAGTTGAGGCCTCATTAAGTTGCCCAGGTTGACCTTGAACTTGGGATCCTCCTGCCTCAGCCTTCTATGTAACAGGAATGGCAAGTGTGCTGCTATTCCTGGCTGTACTTTGGGGGCACTTTTTTTTTGTGTTTTTTTTTTTTTTTGGTGGAACCAGGGATTGAACTCAGGCCCTTGCGCTTGCCAGGGAAGCGCTTATTCCACTGAGCCATCTCCCCGGCCCCTCTGGCTGTACTTTGGGACTTGGTGAAATATGTATGTAGGTCTTTGTGGGGACACATGCACACATGCTGTCATTTCTCTTAGTTGGGTTTGTAGGAGTGGTGGTGCTAGATCACATGGTAAATGCATGTTAACTTTGTAAGAAGCTACAAAATGTCTTCCCAGGTGGCCACCTTGTGTTGTGTCCCTAGCAGTGGCTGACTCCCCCTCAGAAGAACATGGGACTGGGTGTGCACTAGTGTCTCTTCTAGCAGTGGTGAAAGGTGGGCATCTCAGAGTGGCTTTAATTTACACTCCCTGACAAGTGTCACTGTTTATCAGCCGTGGGAGTTTACCCTGGTAAAGCACCTGCTGTTTTAATTCTACCTGTCCTTGGCCAGTATGTGAGAGGCTTTTATATATTCTGGATGCTTCCTTGGCATTGTGAATGTCCTTGCCCACCCTGAGAGCTGCTGTGTACTCCAGAGTCCTTGAGTCTCAGGAAGTGAGGTCATCAGTTACCTCCCTTCATGATTGCTGCCATTTGTGTCTTGCTTCTGATGTTTTTGCCTGATTGGGGTCAGGGTGACACTGCTGTGATCTGCTGGGTGGGTGGAGGCTTGCTTTCTGGGTGTTTAAGTTTTGGACTGGGAGGCCCCTGGGTCAGCTTTGCATTTGGAATGAGGCAGTGTTGCAGTCTACCCTTCTCCCCATGTATCCTCTGCTGTGCTGTCCCCCGCAGTAACTGTCTGGGCCACTGGACTGTAGTGCCACATCCACTCTGAGTCTGGGATCTGTTGTGCACTGGGCCTCAGGACAGTGTTTGAGCCTGCTGGCCAAGGCAGTTGTCTGGCCAATGCCATCTGTCCTGCGGCCACCATTTTGAGTGAGTCTCACAGGGTGACTTTTGGACTGCTGGATTCAGGCCCTGATTGGGAATGTTTAGTGTGGGTTTTTTTTTTTGTTGTTGTTGTTTTGTTTTGTTTTTGGGTTATGTTTTTTGTTTTTTTGAGATAAGGTCTCCTTTTTGTGTGTGTGTGTGTGGTACCAGAGATTGAACTCAGGACCTTGCGCTTGCAAGCCAAGTGCTTATTCTACTGAGCTATCTCCCCAGCCCAAGGTCTCCTTTTGTAGTCCAGGCTGGCCTTGAACTTGTGAGCTCCTCCCTACCTCTGCCTCCCTGGTGCTGGGATGACAGGCAGAAGCCACTATGCCCAGTTTATCCAGCTCCTTCTGAAGAACAAGGAAACGTCATGGGGTGTGTGTGTGTGTGTGTGTGAGGAAGCCCACAAAGGGGGTGCCCTGAGGACTCATCATCAATTCCAGACCCATGAAACAGTCAGAAAGTTCCATGTGTGGATAAAAATTTTCTCATCATTCATAAAAGGCAAGGACAGCCCCAGGACCTGGTCTTACCTGTGTGACTTTGTGGGCTTCTGTCCCTATAAAACTTAACTTTGAAACCCAACTTCTGCTTACAACAGACCTCCTGGAAGTTGGTCTCCAAAGCAGAGCAGCCTGTGGCTGAAGGGTGAATCTGTGTCTTGCTGCTCAGGGCTGGGCCTCTAGTCTCTGCACCTGGCACTCCTGGGCCCTGCAAGGGTAGGGTTTGGGGCAGCTGAGGCTAGGCCCATGAGCTGCAGAGCCAGTGTCTGTCCTGGTCTTGTTGCAGTGTATTTTAGAGGTTACCTTGGGCTGAGAACACAGGTTTGTTTTCAGTGCTGGGCCGGCCCTTGGGGCCCCATGGTAGCCTTCTTCAGTTTCCTTCAGGCTGTGGGAAGCCAGGCATGCGTGTTGCTGCCCTGTGGGCTCAGCCTGTGCCACCTAGGGCTCTCTTAGGCCCATGGCTGCCATGATGTTGAGGGTTTGTCTGCTGGGTCAAGCCCATGCCTGGTTCACCACTTTTGGCCTGACAGCTAGTTCGGAGGACTTGGGCTGCTTCTGGTGACTCAGAATGCTGGTGTCTGGGCTGAGGGTCTCAGACCATGAGTCCTGTGTGTGCCTGTTGGGTGATGAGCCCTGATGTCACCTATGGAAAGGACTGAAGTTTTTTTTTTTTTTTTTTTTTTTTTTTTTTTTTTTTTTTGGTGGAACCGGGGATTGAACTCAGGCCCTTGAGCTTGCCGGGGAAGTGCTTATTCCACTGAGCCATCTCCCCGGCCCCAGGACTGAAGTTTTGTATTAGTGTCTGAACCATCACCTCAGGAGCCCTGCATAGAGGGAATAGGTAGCATCCCACCAGCAGCCTGGAGGAGGCCCCTGTGGCTTGGATCAGGAAAAGCCTTGGAGCATAATAGTGGCTGTCACCCACTGTGTCCCTCAGGCTCAGCCAGCCAGCCTCCTGGCAGTCTCAGGCTGAGTGGCCCAAGGCTCTGGGTCAGCCTCCCCCAGAACCAGGTGAGTCCCCCCTGTTAGTTGCAGTAATCTTGAGTCTCATGCTGGTCTGTGTGGTAGCGTGATAGCATGGCCGCCCAAGGGCCACCATGAGGGGCGTGGGGGAGAGAGCCCATTACTAGAGACATGCAAAGGGACGCCACAGTTTGCCACAGGTAGAGGAGGTAGGTGACACTATGCTGTCCCAAGGTCAGGAGGTGGAGAAGTCACAGCCCTGGTTTCAATGATGTTCCTCCAGCTGGGCAGG